AGGTAAACTAGAGTTGTGGCAACGGACATTTAATATGGATAAGTGCAAGATAATGCATTTTAGATCTAAAAGCCAAAGTACAGAATATTTGTTAGAGTCCTAACCTCAACATCTGAGGAAAGGGATTTCCTGATGTCTGACCATGGCTTCTGGTTTACAGTACTCTTTTAACAATTTCGTTTTTCTGGTTTTCTATTCTATGTCTGTTTTTTTGTGTTCATTCCTGTATTCCATTCCTGGAATTCCCAGTCTCATGGATTTCTTTAAATGCTTGTTTTATGTTGCCACACCCTTTCCCTTACCATTTATCCTTTTGTTTCAGTTGGTTCCAGGCAGTTGCTACAAGTCATCAGCCCTTTTTTTTGCAGTTAGGTGCTGTGTGTGTTTCATTATTGTTTATTTAGTCATGCATATCTAGGTAGATAGGACCCACTGTACTTAGAGTACTTTGATGCAGTGGTGGGCTGCATACATCTTTGCCATTTATGTATGTCTAAATCTCCAGTAGTGTCTTGTATCCACAGTCCATGTACAGTCTTGTCCTGTTAATGTTTTCCCTTATGTATTTTGTACATGTTCTGGGTTTTGATTTCTGTCCTTCTCTGGTTCTGGGTTCTACTAGTTTTGTCTTGTTTGGTGCCTATTCTAGTTTTACCTTGTTTCTAGTCCTGGATAAATCTCAGCATTCATCTGCTCTGGCTTCCGCTAAGCTGCATCAGGGTTCTAGCATGTGGTTACCCTGCACCAGGCCCAATTTATCCACTTCCACGCTGAAGACTCCGCTCATCTTCTACATCAGGCACAGGGGTCCCGGTCTTCGTATCGCCACCTGTGACAAGATTTAGGGGTGATTATTTCTGATGACTTAAAGATAGGCAGACGATGTAATAGAGCAGCAGGAAATGCTAGCAGAATGCTTGGTTGTATAGTGAGAGGTATTAGCAAGATGGAAGTGCTCATGCCATTGTACAGAACACTGGTGAGACCTCACTTGGAGTATTGTACACAGTACTGGAGACCATATCTCCAGAAGGATATTGATACCTTAGAGAGAGTTCAGAGAAGGGCTACTAAACTGGTTCATGGATTGCAGGATAAAACTTACGAGGAAAGGTTAAAGGATCTTAACATGTATAGCTTGGAGGAAAGACGAGACGGGGGGGATATGATAGAAACATTTAAATATATAAAGGGAATCAACACAGTAAAGGAGGAGACTATATTTAAAAGAAGAACAACTACCACAAGAGGATATAGTCTTAAATTACAGGGGCAAAGGTTTAAAAATATTAGGAAGTATTACTTTACTGAAAGGGCAGTGGATGCATGGAATAGCCTTCCAGCTGAAGTGGTAGAGGTTAAATACAGTAAAGGAGTTTAAGCATGCATGGGATAGTAGTAATAGAAAGCTCTAAGTGTTCCAAAGTGTTTCCTTGGAACCACATATTTATTACTCAAGGAAAGTTATTCATTATATTTCATATCACTATGAAGATAAAAAAATAAAAACACTTGCCTTCATATTCCTCCTCCCATCCCATTTTCTTCCTCTCTCCTTCAAACAGTTTAGATTGCTTAAAGGAACACTATAGGCACCCAGACCACTTCAGCTTAATGAAGTGTTCTGGGTGCCAGGTCCAGCTAGGGTTAACCCCTTTTTTTCAGAGAAACTGCTATGTTTATGTTAGGGTTAATCCAGCCTCTAGTGGCTCTCTTGACAGCCACTAGAGGCACTTGCGTGCTTCTCACTGTGATTTTCACAGTGAGAAGACACCAGTGTCCATAGGAAAGCATTATAAATGCTTTCCTATGAGACTGGCTGAATGCGCGCACGGCTCTCGACAAGCATGCGCATTCAGCCGAAGAGGAGGAGAGGTGGAGGAGGAGGAGAGCTCCCCGTCTGGTGCTGGAGAAAGAGGTAAGTTTAACTGCTTCATCTCCATCCAGCCCAGCGGGAGGGGGACCCTGGGGGTGGGGGCACCCTCAGGGCATTATAGTGCCAGGAATACAAGTCCTTTAAAGGACCACTCTAGGCACCCAGACCACTTCAGCTTAATGAAGTGATCTGGGTGCCAGATCCAGCTAGGGTTAACCCATTTTCTTATAAACATAGTAGTTTCAGAGAAATTACTATGTTTATAAATGGATTAATCTTTCCTCCAATTCCTCTAGCGGCTGTCTCATTGACAGCCGCTAGAGGCGCTTGCGTGATTCTCACTGTGAAAAATCAGTGAGAGCATGCAAACGTCCATAGGAAAGCATTGTAAATGCGCATTCAGCAGAATGGGCGGAGAGGAGGAGGATCGGAGGAGAGCTCCCCAGCCAGCGCTGGAAAAAGGTAAGTTTTTACCCCTTTCCCTTTTCCAGAGCCGGGCGGGAGGGGGTCCCTGAGGGTGGGGGCACCCTCAGGGCACTATAGTGCCAGGAACAAGAGTGTGTTTTCCTGGCACTATAGTGGTCCTTTAAGTCAATACCAATGTAAGCTAATGAAAACAGACACTTGCTGATATTTCATCAATGTATTTCAGATATTTCTTTTTCTAAAATACTGTACTATGTGGACATTGAGAATCATTATAAAGATCAACTTGAAATCCTTAATACTTCCATAAACATTTATTCCAGATTACAAAAAAAAAAAAACTTATCCTAGTTTATATCTCAGTCTAATTGATAGTTTAGTAAAGCTGCCCTCTGCTTCAATAAAAAGGACTTTTCCCATGATTAGCATTATTTTTTAGGAGTTGTAAGGCAAATACATCTCTTTCTATTTGTAACTTCTAGTAAATAATACTTGATTTTTTTTAATCAATTATTTTTTTTTATATATATATATTAACACTTGAAAGCACAAGTATGTAAATATTCTGAAAAAAAAACAAAAAAAAAAACACAACAACCCCTTCTCCTACCTCTCCCCTCAAATATTAAACCCTTAAGGACTGAGCCAAAAGTACACGTTGTGAGCAAAACAAAAAGTTAACAAAATCTGGCATTTGGGCTATATGTCTGTCCAACAGTAATTCACCTCTTTCATATTAAATGCACCCACACATATATAATTTTATTCACGGGAAAGGGGGCTTTCATTTAACATCAAATATTTTGGTATGGAACATAATTTAATATGAATAACATTAAAAAAAAAGGGAGAAAATAAGATTTTTTTAAAATTATTTCTACGTGACATTTTAACTGTGAATGTCATAATACTGTTTACAGTATTTTTATTCAGTGATGTCTCATGTGTAAAACAGCACACCCTATGTTCAGGTTGTATGGTGTTTTAGGAAGTTAGAGGGTCAATTATAGCACGTTACATTTTTCAGTTTTTTAACATTGAATTTCGCCAGATTGGTTAGCCCAGGAATGAGAATTACCCCCATGATGGCATACCATTTGCAATAGTAGACCACCCAAGGTATTGCAAATGGGTTATGTCTAGTCTTTTTTTAGTAGCCTTTTGGTCACAAACACTAGCCAAACTTAACGTTAATATTTGTTTGTGTGTGAAAAATGCAAAAAAACTAATTTGAACGCCAATTTTTGCCAGTGTTTGTGACTGTCTACTAAAAAAGTCTGGACATACCCCATTTGCAATACCTTGGGTTGTCTACTATTGCAAATGATATGCTATCATGGGGGTAATTGTTACGGTTGCCTCCAGGCTAGCTGAAAGTTCGACCGCTTAGATATCTTGGTTCCCGATCGAGAGTTAGAGCACCGCTCTGAACAGCATACAGCAATATTCTAGCTATGAGCAGAGCAAGTATAACACCTTTCCCTACAACAACATGAGTGGAGGCTGCAAGTTGAGGATAAAACTAACTTGTTTAATGGAAACTCATGCATGGCTTTAAATACAAGTTTTTCAGGCCAGAGGAACACCCCTCTGGACCTGATGGTACACAGGACAATGCAATGTCACAGCCAATAGGAACAAAGTGCATTTTATGAAACACTCCCCCCTACCCTGGAGATAATTGGTCTCAACGATTACAGTAACTCCATTATCTCCAGGTACATGGAATAACCACATGTTCTTATACACAAGAAAACAGAATAAAAATGGATAACTTTTAAAGCAGAATACTTAAATGTGATCTGGCCAAGGGCCGGTATAACTCGGAGATACGAAAGACATGTTGTTCGACAATTTGTAACTTATTGCCCAAATGGATGGGGAAAGCTGTATCCCAGCGGGATTTGTGGAAACTATTATCCGAGAATAGTACCATGAGTTTGACGATCAAGTCCCGCTGGGCGATCGAAAAAATATGGCCGCCGCCACGTGTTTGGCATGCTAGGTCGAAACGCGTTGTGTTTTCTATTGATTTTATTTTACATTTGTTTAAATAAAAGTATTTACTTTCCATGCTCCTGGTTCCTGATTCTTCAAACAGAGGACTTCGGATACCTTCAGGGGGACCCAAACCTGCATACCCACATCAGATTGATGTATCCTGCTATCATAGTTTAGAGCAAACTCAGAAATGCTCTATATAGAGAGTGTTCCCAAGTTATATATTTCCATAATCTTGTGTTAAGACCTATTACCCTATGTTGGTTTTCTGTACCCACAGAACCTAGGGATTATTCATACAACTCAAGAATTTTGCAATCACCTTCTCTCCATTTCCAATTTCTGTATGTAAGTGTTAATTAATTAGTGACTATACACTTTGGTGATTTTTCTGTATGCTGTACTATTTTGATCTGTGATATTATATTTGACTGTTAGCGCCACCCTCTTTCTTCCCTTTTTTTTGTCTGTTTTTAATCCTCACCTATATCGTATGTTCCATTCCTGAAGAATGGCTGTCACCAGTGCCCTTCTTGCCTCCAACATCAAGGGAGAAAGATTATTGTAAGCAACACAGAGGTTCCACAGAGTTCCCAGGAGGGTCTTACACATGCCTTTCTCATGATGGCATCCTTTACTGAATAAGAATGCATACAGCAGATAAGATCTCTTGGAGCCTCAGAAGATATTAGTGGTCTTACCGCCCTATGGGCAAGCCCAAATTTAAATTGATCTGGTGCTTCCTCACACAGGATAGACTGGAACAGATCAGAAAGAGTCCACTCAACATCTTCTGTGCCCTCAGATTTGGGTACACCTCGTACTTGGATATTGCATCTGCATCCTCAGTTGTCCAAGTCTTCAAGGTGGCGTCTCTTTGACCGCAGCATTGATCCTGTCTGGACACCACCACATCAGTTGCCAATGAGTGATTCGCAAAGTTTTGTGCAGATGACTCCAGAGTTCTCAAGCGGTTATCTTGAGTGGATATTTCAGAGCGCAGGAGGGCCATCTCTACCTTAATTACTTCGTAGATTGTTGAGGTACCTGGTTGTAAATTTGCCAAAGGAAGCCATATTTTGGAGATCTTCCAGAATTATATTCAACATGGACATCTCAGATCCCTCTGGAAAAAATGGTCATATTGGCGTTCTCTTGGGGCTCTCAATCCCACTACCCGCTCCAATGGGAGCATTTAGAAATTCATTCATAGGACCAACATCAAAACTAGATAAGGTGCCCCTTGGGGCCTGGGGTGGTTCTGGACATCATGTTTGACCCATCTGTACGCTAACCTAACAGTGGTGCTATATAGCGGCTAAGCAGAGCAGAGTTCGTGTCTCAAGCAGCCATGCCAGTCGGAGCCCAAATCCCCCAGCAGCATCAAGAGCATATTTCTACATTGTAACATTGTATCCATTTTGTATGTCAGCACTGTCATAGACATGCATACAAATATAATTTTTCAATGTAGGGTAATAACTGCTTGATCAAAGGATACATTTGAGTACCATTCGTGGGTCAAGAAGGTTTTTCTTCCTAGCTTGTTGCAAAATTGGAATCGCTTTAAACTTTTTTTTTTTTTTTTAAACCACCTTTTGGATCAACAGCAAAAACAAAGGTGAGGAAGGCTAAATTTGATGGACGCAAGTCTATGTACAAAACCCTAAGCCCTCAATGAATACTATGCTAGAAATCTACCTACCTTTCTACCCTTACCTTTTGTGTCACTATACCCCACTTCCTCTAGCACGTAAACTAATTGAGCAGGGCCCTCATGTAACTATGTAACAAATAGCTTGCCTGAATATTTTTATTTACCAACATTCACCAGAACAAACAGCGACTTGAACAGAATTCTTTCAACCCGGAACCAAAATTGTTTGCCTTGCACAAGTCTAATAATTTTAAACAACTGCACATTGGTAAACTAGTCTGATATTAGGATGAATGATAAAATGCTTGTTAAGTGTCAATCTTCTATATCCCATTTAAAGTTTTCTTTAATACTTCTGACTCCTCAAAACAGTTTTAAAAAAATATCAATGTTTAACAACTGCAAATAGGTGCAATTATCTTACACTAAGATTAATTACAAAATGCCTGCCAAGTGCCAATCACCTATTCCATTATTTAGTACTCCTGGTAGTACTAGCTGGTAGATAAAGCTAGCCTCACACTAGAATCAAGGTTCTCTCTCACTGCAACACTGGCACAACAAGGGGAGACACACAGGATAAGTGAATGTCTACATAGGCGTGCACAGCCTATTGCATAAGGGTGTGCACTCTAAAAAAAAAAACACACGCCATGTGTGTATATATATATATATATATATATATATATTCTCCAAAAAGAAAGCCAGCACTCAAGGACCTCAATGTGAAAAAATAGGCATTTAATTCAAGTGGTCAACGTTTCAGTTCACAACTGTGAACTTCTCAGGACATAAATTGAGGAAAGTTCACAGTTGTGAACTGAAACGTTGACCACTTGGATTAAATGCCTATTTTTTCACATTGAGGTCCTTGAGTGCTGGCTTTCTTTTTGGAGACTGTATTTGTGTGCAGCTAAGCACCTGGCCAAGATTAAGAGGAGAGCTGGAGTGCAAAACTCCCATCGTATAATATATATATATATATATATATATATATATATATATATATATATACACACACACACACACTGCTGTGTGAGGGTGCTGTGTGAGTGTAAGGGTGTGGTGTGTGTGTGAGGGTGCTGTTAGTATGCGTGTGTGTGTAAGGGTGTGTATGTGTAAAGGTGCTGTGTGTAAGGGTGATTGTATGTGTGTGGGTGAGTGCTGTGTCTGTATGGGTGCTGTTTGTGTGTATTGTGTGGGGTGGGGGTACGGGGGCCGTTTAGTTTATATCCCCCTTCTTACCTTTTTATAGGGAGGGGTCCGTGCTGCTGCCATCCCTGGTGGTCCAGTGGTGAGTGAACTCTAGCCTGCAGGCTAGAGTTCACTCTCGTGAGATCTGAGCATTGCCACGGCAATGCTCCGACCTAGTGAGAGGAACCCGGCGGTGCTGCGGGCTAGAGCTCCCGGGTCCTCTCCTGCCTCCCTCCCTGCCTTCGGGTCGTGAGGGAGATCTTGGATCTCCCTCACCGGCCCACGGAGGGAGGCACATAGTGCGGGACATGGGTATTAGGGTGTGCCCACACCTATGAATGTCTATCTTTCTTAGTACATGAAGTCAATGCCTCACGTTGTGTGTGTGTGCGTGTGTGTGCGTGTGTGTGTGTGTGTGTGTGTGTGTGTGTCACACTCCCCCACTTGTTTTTCTTCTATGACAAAACTAAAAGCACTAGTGGCAAAAAGAATCCCAGAGAAAAAAAAAATTTTGAATACACCAATAATAACCCTAAAAAGTCAAATAGAAGTGGTATCAACAGAGTAACAAACCACTGGGGTCGTGTTCAGTCCTGGAACTCAGGTGCAGTAACAGCTCTCCCTTACAAGCACGATCCACAGAGATCACGAGGGTAATAAAAGTTTCTGTTGGTTTAGTGATGGCACCGGGGCTTTAATAAAAATAACAGAAAAAATCCAAGGCAAAGTTATACGAAGAAGGGTCAGGCAGAAGTCAGAGTCAGACAGTCCAGAGGCCAGGGCAGGTGGAAATCAGCAAACTTCAGAGAGCAAGCAAAGTCAGGAAACCAGCAAGAACGGGAAAAACAAGAAAACAAAATGCTAGGAGTTCTGAGGCAGGCAACAAAACATCCAAGCACGGACTGAAAGGTGTGCTCTGCTTTTAAAGGAGTAGCTGAATCTCATACCTGGTCTCACCTGTAAGAGGAGTTACCGGAGGTCAATGTGACTGACTGTGGGACTCGGCTCCATCTTGAATGCATCATGTCCTGGGTCCGCCCCTCAGCCACACTTCCTTCAACCTCTGATCTGCAGACCAAGAACTCGACTGAGCACTTACTAACATCAGATTTCCTATCTCTCAGGGGTTAAACTATAACAAAACAATATTGGTTTCACCAACCTAGTGTCTTTGTCAGCTCTCTGCGCTCCAGTGCTTAGTCAGCCTGTTGCTTCCAGCCCTTCAAGAGAGAAAACAAACATTCTCCCCTTACCTGCCTAGCAGGGAGGGGTTTATTCCCACTGCTGCAGCAGATTACCTGCAGCTGAGCAGTGGGTTGGAGACAGTCCAAAATCCTGGCCTGGACCTATGTCTCCCAAGAAAAAACAATAAACAGTGGAGTGGAGCACTGGCCCACCCTGCTCTCCAAATGTTCCACCCCAGGGGCCCATAACTAAATATTCATTTGTTATATACACACACACACACACACACATACACTCTCCCTGGGGTTAAAGATCATATGCATCTCTGAACAATGTAATTGAAATATAAACTCCCTCACAGACCACCCCATTCACCTTATCACAAATGCTAGAGCAATCACGTTCCTGGCTGTGAATTGAGGTTCAGAGTATGCAGACTAGGTTGCAGCAGCCACAAGCACTATAACAGACAGTATGCAGACTGACCTCCAGGGTGTTGAGGATGCCATGGGACTGGTGAGTACCGTCTGCGAATGTGACACAGAGTGACTTAGTAAACTGTGTTAAAGCTACACCAAAGTTCCATATAGATCTTGATTGTAGAAATCAGAACCAAAAACAAATCTGGAAGTCCATTAGAAGTAAAGTCAGAAAAACTGCAATAAGACCGTTCATGGAGGTTCCAGAAAGGAAATTAGTACAGCAAGGCTGCAGAATGAAATGTGAAATAAGCAGCAACAAAAAGCAATAATAATACATTAATACACTAACATGTTCATATCAACCAAATGGGAAATTTGAAAAGTAGGATAACCATAATAGCTCCTCAACTCCTTAGGTATATGCAATGTTTGGAACATCGTCTTGGATATAATATGTGGTTGTCTTTGTCCTACTACCTATGGATAGTATTAATTCTTCCCAAATAAACAAAATAAAAGCAGCTGGATGTACACTGACAGAGAACACATTTAACTCTCTAGGTGCAATCAACTTTATTTCACTTTTACATAGATTTATATTCTTTATTACTCCTTCTCCAATTAGTCCTAAAGCAGCACTGTCATAGCCACATCTGTTTTCCACCCTGTAGAGGTGAGTAAGGCCTCTAAGTGATAATTGAGGGGACCTATTGTCCCTTCCCCAGCCCCACCCATCAGTGGTGGGTGATGACTAATTGTAAAGATCCTCCCTCTCCATGACTAGGAGTCTCCTAGCCCCTAGTCACCCCCCTATAAACAAATACCCTACCTGCGTAATTAAGCTAGATCCTGAAAAATGAAAGAAATATATAATACTCACCATTAGATGGCTTTTTTCTTCCATTTTCCTTTTTCAGTCCCCAAAAAGCCAAATAATTAATGAAGCCCTGTCGAAGTGTTAAAATAAAAAAAATAAAAAGAACCGATCACAATCAATAAAAAAGCAGAAAAACGGGGGGTGTGGCCTAGCTGAAGAGAGAGCTGGACGCATCTGAGTAGTGCTCTGCTCCTACAACACTGTCTATAGCACACATAGCTGATGAGAACGCTTGACACTACTTCTACAATGGAGAATAGACACCCTAAGAAGCTCCCTAAAAATAGTGCTGAGACTGGGACCTCGGTGCTGGAGATGTTGGCAGCCCAGAGACCCTGACCGACGGAGGACTAAAATGGAGGACCAATACGGAGGACCCGGTGTGGACCTTAGCCTGTCTCCATTCTCGCCATGGGCAATGGTAGGTGACGAGCCTACACAAGGAGAAACCTCGCAAATCCTGGCTAAAGTGGCCAAAGTCCGGACCTTCTTAGCGGGGGCGAAATTGAGAGGTCCATGGCTGTTCTACTGGCGGAGATAAGCGCCCTCGGCGAATGGATCAGACGCCTGTAAGAGTGACTAGAAGGTACTGCCAGGGTGCATAATGATGTGGTGGCTCAAGTTAACCAATTAACAGCCCGAATGGCAGAGAACAAACTTGTGGTGGAGGATATCGC